TTTTTTTTTTTTTTTTCATTGCACGCCATGAATTACACGCGCGGTGTGTAAACTGGGACGCTGAGGAAATTATAACTGTATGCCAGAAATCATAAAAGCACGATGATGAAATTAGAGTATGCGCATATGACTCAATTGAGCTTTAAAGGAAACACTCTGGAACTACAGCAATATTATATAACTGAGGAACATGAAGGAGTTTGTACAATATAAAAGGGGGGACAGTTTCCTTTATGGCCACCCCCCCAATCCTAAAAATCATTGGGGCAATACTGACGAAGGAATTGGAATCATGTGAGGTCGTCCAAATTATTGCCATCCCCGCCCCTTGTTATGCCCAAGCAGGGTAACAAGAGAAGTATTAATAGAAGAAAATGGGTGAACACTGTTTTGGGGAGACCGGCGAAGCAGCATGGAATTACTGCATTGATCATAGTAATAGACGCCACGGTTTGGATTGTTTTCTACATATAATGGCCATGTGCAATACAACAAAAAAAAACAGGACATGCATGGAGCCGGTTTCAGGAGCACAACGAGAATGTTGATTCCTTGTAGAGTGCATTGGAAGGTGTGTGTCATATTATAACACAAACAGAGGAAAATACGTTTTTTTAGAAGGCACGGTACGATTAACGTTTTTACGAAGAATACGGCCACTTCAAAAGAAGCGTGTATGTCAATGTATACAAAAATCATGGTTGAATCCTATGACACATTACGCATCACACAGCTCATATGCGGGCAACAGAGGATATAATATATTACGTGTGCAAATGACACATGCCACCCTTCCGATGAAGGACTTGTCGCATATGCTGACTTGTACAATGTGTGAGATATCCTCCCCCTTTTTGTGCATATAAAAAGGTACGTTGTAAAACCGTTTCATTTGGCAATGTGGAAGTTTATACGAACCGGAAAGGAAGCATCAATACGTAAGCAAGAAGAAGTAAAACATGTTACATATTATAAGAATAGGCACTGTATGAATTAACTACGATGGTCATTTTGTACTATATATGTTACACACATAGGATGTAACACAATTAATTATTCGCTATATATACATATAGAGTAAGAGAAGGACGCATCCTTCTTTTTTTGTCAAATGCTTCGTCTTTCCATCATGTCTATGGATCAAATGATTACAGAAACAAAACACAACTATATATGCATGAAATATTCATATTAGAAAAAACGTAAACCATATTATAATGTACAAAACGGAACAATAACATAAATGCATAAAAAATCATAAGCCATGTCATACAAAATGCATACAATATCATATGAGGGTCAAACTAAGAAAATATGTACAACCATACAGTAACGTTAAAGTTGCCTGCCTGAAAGTGGCATACAGCAAGTTACTTATCGTTTGTTAGGTGCCTCCGGTTGCCCGGGTACTTCGCGCTTCTGATCTTCTTCTAATGAAATTTTGTCCTCCGAAGCTTTTTTCGACACTTTTCATTTTCCCATTCGGTAGTAGAGCCGGAATAGCATAAGTAAGGACATAATTCCTATACCCACAGCACCTGCAGCGGAGGCTATGGTAATCCCACCTGTACACAAGTGTCGGTTCGCACCTCCATTTGCAGCTGAACACGCAAGTCCAGCGCAAGGTGCAAATGCCAGCATGCAGCCAACACCAATCATTATTGCACAGAAAACCAAAATTGCTACAGCAACGAACTTCCAGCACCTATATATAATAAATGTAGCCAGTTTCCGTCTACTAAAGGCTCTTCCGGTTTTGACGTTCACGGCTCCATTCTGCCTCCAATGCTTTGCGCTTCCGGTGTTTCGGGTTGTTCCTGTAAATTAGGCGTGTGGAATAGGATTCGATGAACATTCTATCCCCCACGAGGCGTTTGTCTTTGGGGGGCGGGAAACCTCCAAATACAACTTTCTCGAAGAATTTATTTTGTCGCCGTGTGTGCATATCAGTTTTACTCTTCAATGAGTATCCTTTGGATGTCTCCCTCGTTCGCTCACCATGTTCTTTATTTCGTAATTCGCCTCAGGAAGCCCCTCATCCAACGTTGAGATCTAATTTTCTGAGCATTTTGCCCAAAGACGTGTTCTCAAAAAAATCTCCACTATGTGTGCCGGACAATTCATTTGGTTGTCGTAATTTATCAATGTAATTGTCAACTTCATCATCTGCATCCAATCCTTCTCTGGTAGAGTATTTTTTATCCTTATTATGATATCCGGATGATTCAGCCATTCTGTTCTTTTCTTCGAGATCAACATCATCTCGTTTTTCGAACAAACTGTCACTGCTGTCAAAGGTCATGGGTTCTGTAATTTCCTGGCTTCTGTCAGAATCGTCGCCATTGGCTCCTTCTGGGAATATACTGTCCATACTGTCAGCATTTGCATGTTTATGCACTTTGTCCTTATTATTAAAAATGTCATCGGCTCCGTTCTCGAATATACTATCCATGCTGTCAAAGAGCATGGACGAGCTAAAGCCCTGATCAACGTCGTTACCATGATCACTTCGTTCTTCAAATAGACTCTCCGTGCTGCCAAAAATCGATGATCCTCCAAACTTTACCTTGCATTGATGCTCATCAAAATTATTCAAGTTTAAAGACTCGTTGGATTTGTCCACGTTACCACGATCCATCGTACTTTTCGACTTTTTCCTTGAACTCGCGCGGGGACTACTCTTTCTAGATCGTGAATTAGAGCTATCACCATGCTTTGTTACATCGGAACGGTCCTGCAGGTAGGTTTCGTCATGTTCATCCACTGAACCGATGCACTGTTTCCTGAACAGACTATTATTCTGTTGTAGTAGTGCTTCTACATTAGTTTCACCCATCAATAATCTGCTAATCCTAACAACCAAGGTATTATTCTGGCCAGTTGAATGATTCCATGATGTGCCTAGTGCATTTACCTAACATATAGGACAGAGTAGATACATTCATAATTTGTGCATTACGCAAGTATTTAGATAAAATGAACGAATGTGACGTGTTTAATTTTCAATAAAAGCAAAGAACAAAATAGGTCATAGTAGGAACACGGATTTTAAGAACTGCTTATTTATTATATTACGTTATAGGGAGCGTGCCAGGCACCTAGAGCATAAATGAGTATAGCGCGTTTCGCAGGAAGTACCATTCTCTTTTTTGTTTTTGTTGTTCTTTGTTTTTTCCCCCTATTAGTGTAACGAAGGTTCAAGGAAGCAAAGCATCTTTATTTTATATATATAAG